CTCCTCCCCAATGAGCCCACCAACAACCTGGACATCGAGTCCATCGACGCTCTGGGCGAGGCCATCAACGAGTACAAGGGCGGTGAGTCCCCTCGGAGCGCTCCCCTCCTTCCCTGGGGCCAGCTGTGGTGGCCGCCGCTCAGCTCCCTTCTTTCACGCACTGATTGCTGCCCCTTCCTTCACAGCTGTGATCGTGGTCAGCCACGACGCCCGGCTCATCACAGAAACGAGCTGCCAGCTGTGGGTGGTGGAGGAGCAGAGTGTCAGCCAGATCGACGGCGACTTTGAGGACTACAAGCGGGAGGTGCTGGAGGCCCTGGGGGAAGTCATGGTCAACCGCCCCCGAGAATGACCTTCCTTCCCTCCCCGTGGGCTCCACAGGCCAGGATGCCACTTGGCTGCCTTTCCGGAAAGACTCAGCCGCTTGCTTTTCTTCATATAAATGAGGTGGCCTTGTGCCTGACACCCTCCGCACTAGCAGAGGTGACGTGACCTTTGTTATCGTGGGTTCATCCGGCCAGACTTCTGTGGCCAGTGGTCCCGAGTCTCCTCGTTCCTCAATGCCTCTCATCCACCTGAGGGGCTGTGGCCCAGGGCTCTGGCAGTGCTGCTTTTTCCGTGGATTCCATGCTGACCTGGTGACCATGCGAAGGGCTGTGGCAGCTCTGCTCGGGAGAGGGGGGCCTGCGTCGTGTCTGCATGCAGGCTGGGGCAGGAGAGTGCTGCTGACCTTGAATGTCCCTGTGCCATGGGGAGGAATAAAGGAAGGTGTTGCTGCCCGTTCACAGAGTCGTGGGGGCTGGGGCTGTGGGTCTTGCTTCACTTGGTTTCCTAGCAGCATTTAGTATCCTCGCTTCCCACCAATACTAACGGTTCTCACGTGCAGTCTCACTGCACCGTGGCAGTGCTGGCTAGGTGAGGAGCCCCCTCCTCCACCACCCTCAGGACATTCGGGCCTCACTGTCCAAGGTCCCCCAACATGTAGAGTTGAGGGCATGCGGGTGGGGAAGGCATGTCTTCATGAGGTTAGGGGAAGACGTGAGCACATGTGGTGATGGGCCGGTTGCTGGCAGACAGCTCTTGGTTTGGGCTGCTGTGTGCGAGAAGGAAAGGCTATCTGGAGCTTGGTTATTGGCAGGATCACTTGAGAGTGACCTTAAAAAAGAATAAAGATTTGAATAATGAGGGAACAGAGCCCTTTCAGAACCTAGGAAAAGAGCATATCTAAAGCTTAGAAGGAAGAAAACCAAAACGGAGCTAATGAGAGAAAATGACTAGAATGGCCACTCCTTAGCCTTAGATTGGAGAGGCAGGCTTGGAAAGTAAAATGCAAATGGCAGGTGGTGGGTGTGATTTATATATCATATATATAGTATCTATATGTATAAAAGGCTAAGTGTCCATCTGTCCAACCAGTAGCTATGATGTGCACTGACCACCAGGGGCAGATGCTCAATGCAGGAGCTGCCATTATGTGCACTGGCTACTTAAAAATAAATGGCACCAGGGACCTGGTGCGGCCAACAAACTAACACTCAGCTTCCCCCAAATGGGACACGGGCCCTGCCGCACCACCATGGAGCAACAGCCCACCAAATCGCAGCCATCACTACCGAGACCCCATGGCGCAAAATGCAGCCCACAGCCCAGCCCAGAAACAGTCATGGGCACTGGGTAAAGACATCACATAGCAACACACAGCTTCCTCTCCCTTGTGACTAGCCTTGGAATTTCTTCAGCCCAGGAACATGACTTCCTTTATAGCCAGGTGCAAACATTTTACAGTTTAACCAAATGTCTGTGAAGTGTTTTCCCGTGCCTCATCTCATTTGATCTTCACAGAAGTCCTGGAGTAGGTAGATAGGAGACTTGAGAGAATCCTATTTTCTTTTCATTAGCTGGAAAATGGAGATTTAGAAAGGTAAGAAAGGACTCAACTGAAAAGAAGAAATGGAGTTCGAAAATGACCAGTTTTTCTTGCTGCACAGAATATAGTCAGACACTGCTGCAGTTAAATATTTTACCCTTTGTTCTTCCTGCTTGAGCTACAATAATAATATGCTTCATGTTGATATTTACTGCTGTGTTGCTGACAATTACCTAAAAGAGAAGTTGGGGTGCCTCACTGGGCTGGAGAAAGTTTAGCTAAATCAGAAATCAGGTCTAATTAAGAAAGTTCTAGCTACACTAATAAAAGACAAACATGCAAATTGTACCTTCATTATGCCTTAAGCCATGCCCACCAGCCAGTCAGAGTGACCGTATGCAAATTAACCCAACCAAGATGGTAGCTGGCAGCCATGGAGCTGGAGCAAGCAGGAGGCTTGGTTGGGTGCTTGACCAGCCTGCAGCCATTAGCCTCTCACCCAGGCTGGCCAGGTATCCCAGTGGGGACCCCCACCCTGAAGGGTGTGTGACCAGCCTGGAAACAGCCATGAGCTCCTCACCTAGGCTGGCCAGGCACCCCAGCGGGACCTCCACCCTGATCCAGACACCCTTCAGGGCAAACCAGCCGGCCCCCACCAGTGCACCAGGCCTCTATCCTATATAATAAAAGGGTAATATGTACATTGACCCTAACAGAACCACTGGGAATGACTGGTCACTAGGACACACACTGACCACCAGGGGGAAGATGCTCAGTGCAGGAGCTGCCCTCTGGTGGTCAGTGCACTCCCACAGGGGGATCTCTGCTCAGCCACAAGCCAGGTTGTGGTGGTGGGAGCCTCTCCTGCCTCCTCAGCAGCACTAAGGATGTCTGACTACAGCTTAGGTCTGCTCCCTGCTGGTAATTGGACATCCCCCAAGGGCTGCCGGGCTGCCAGAGGGATGTCTGCCAGCTTGGGTCCCATCCCGTCAGGAAGCAGGCCTAAGCCAGCAGGTGGACATCCTCCAAGGGGTCCCAGACTGCAAGAGGGCATAGGCCAGGCTGAGGGACCCCCCCAAGTGCACAAATTTTTGTGCAACGGGCCTCTAGTATATACATAATAGGCTAAGCTGAAACACACATGTGCGATACATATAAAGCTCGTGCTGGCGCCAATCACACACGTGTTTCGATCTGTCATTGTCGATCATGAATTTGGTTAACACTTCTATTATCGAGAAAGGGTGAATAGCGATATTAAAATATTTCTTCTAATTAATTTCCTTTCAATGTGTAGGGGGGCACACTATACTGGGACACTAGTATAATGAAACTAGAGGCCCATTGCACAAAAATTTGTGCACTTTGGGGGGTCCCTCAGCCCGGCCTATGCCCTCTTGCAGTCTGGGACCCCTCGGAGGATGTCCACCTGCTGGCTTAGGCCCGCTTCCTGACGGGATAGGGCCCAAGCTGGCAGACATCCCTCTGGCAGCCCGGCAGCCCTTGGGGGATGTCCAGTTACCAGCAGGGAGCAGACCTAAGCTGCAGTCAGACATCCTTAGTGCTGCTGAGGAGGCAGGAGAGGCTCCCACCACCACCACTGTGCTGGCAGCTATCAGCCTGGCTTGTGGCTGAGCAGAGCTCCCCCTGTGGGAGCACACTGACCACCAGAGGGCAGCTCCTGCACTGAGCATCTTCCCCCTGGTGGTCAGTGTGTGTCCTAGTGACCAGTCATTCCCAGTGGTTCTGTTAGGGTCAATGTACATATTGCCCTTTTATTATATAGGATTAATATACCTAAGTATGGGCAAAAGGATGCCACTCCTCCTGCCAAAAACAATGTTGAACTAGAACATGGAAAAAATAACAAACTCACATGGCACAGTGTATGAGTAACCAAAAGCCTGGAAATGCAATTTCATTAACAGAATTAAATATTTTTATCATAAACAGCTTTTAGTACCTACACATTTTGCACTAATGTACATAGTGAGCAGCACAGATGTTCCCATAAAGTAGTACTTCTCAGCTTCCTAATGACAGACTGCGGACACCTGCCTGCCTTGTGCAGGGGCTGGTCCTGGAACGATGGCCCTGTTGACCTCACCAGTGCTCTGGGCATCTCCCTGACCTGCAGAATGGACACGGCCAGTAAGGCCCTGGCCCGGTGGCTCGGTTGCAGTGTTGTCTTTTTTTTTTCTTTTTTTTTTTCAGAGAGGAAGGAAGAGGGAGAGAGAAACATCAATGATGAGAGGGAATCATGGATCAGCTGCCTCCTGCACGCCCCCTACTGGGGACCGAGCCACAATCCGGGCATGTGTCCTTGACCAGAATCGAACCCAGGACCTTTCAGTCCACAGGCTGACCTCTATCCACTGAGCCAAACCTGCTAGGGCTAGAAAGTTGTCTTATATACTGAGGTTGAGAGTTCGATTCCTGGTCAGGGCACATACCCAAGTTGCAGGTTCAATCCCCAGTCAGGAGCATATGGGGGCAGCCGATCAATATTTCTCACATTGATGTCTGTCTCTCCCTCTCCCTTTCTCTGACTGGAATTCAAAAACATATCCTCTGGGGGGATGGGGGGGTGGGCAATGGGGCAATAAGAACACATATGTAATGCCTTAATCAATAATAATAATAAAAAAACAGCCAGAACCGGTTTGGCTCAGTGGATAGAGCGTTGGCCTGTGGACTCAAGGGTCCCGGGTTCGATTCCGGTCAAGGGCATGTACCTTGGTTGCGGGCACATCCCCCGTGGGGGGTGTGCAGGAGGCAGCTGATCGATGTTTCTCTCTCATCGATGTTTCTGGCTCTCTATCCCTCTTCCTTCCTCTCTGTAAAAAATCAATAAAATATATTTAAAACAAAAAAAGAAAAGAAAAAAAAACATATCCTCAAGTGAGAATTAAAAAAGGATGACTGCCCTGGCTGGTGTGGCTCCGTGGTTAGAGTGCCAGCCTGTGAACTGAAGGGCCACGGGTTCGGTTTCCAGTTGAGGGCCTGTCCCTGGGCTGCAGGTTCAATTCCCAGCCTGGTCAGGTGTGTGCAGGAGGGAACACATTGATATGCCTCTCACAGCAATGTCTCTCTCCTGCTCCCTTCCACACTAAAAAAATCAATGGGGAAAAATGATCCTTAGGTGAGCATTAACAACAAAAGATGACCAAAGCTAAGTCCTAGATCCAAGCGAGAGCCAGGATAGGCCTGTTTTAGGAACACACAAGGCATTTTAGGGAAGTCTTGTTAGTGCTACCATGGAAACAGGAAAGCCCTGTGGCCATACAGAACTCAAAGGGGGCCTGAGAACGGAAGAGTGGCCCTGTGGCCAGTGCTGGAGACGCTCGCCTGGCTGTTCTAGGGCAGTGGGTCTCTGTCCCAGCGGCAGCACCTGGAGTCAGCTGTGCAACTGGGAACAGGGGTGCCCGGAGCATATCTCCGGGAGGAGAGGGTGTCCCCTTGACATGGAGTGATTAGTAGAGACCTCAGAGGAAGTAACATGAAAGCCAAGGCCTGAAGGAGGTGAAGGAGTGAACCAGATGAGTGGGAAGAAGAGCCTTCAGGGGAAACACCAGAATGTGTAGACACCTAGAACCTGTATAATGTTACTAACCAATGTCACCCCAATCCTATTGAATAAAAGAGAAACATGGTAATTGGTGTACGACCACTACCCTTCCCGTTGGCTAATCAGGGCAATATGCAAATTAACTGCCAGCCAAGATGGCGGCCGGCAGCCAGGCAGCTTGAAACTAACATGAGGCTTGCTTGCTTCAGTGACGGAGGACTCCAACGTT